CCCCCCGCCCTGCCTCTCCCTCTCCCTCTCCCCCTGCCCCTGCCCCGAGTCCCACTCGTTATTACTCGGCCCAGGCGAGGGCGAAGCCACTGAAAGACGAGCAGGATAGAACCGGCTGTCCGCGCTCTCGTTCGAGATTTGGCGGTGCACCGTGTGCGCCTGCTCGCCCGAGCCGGAGCGCGTATGCTCGATGACGGGCGCGAAAGGCGATGGTGCGCCCGAGCGCGAGGGCGAGACGGGCGACGCGGGCTCGACGAGCGGGCCGCGGTGCGACAGCTGGCTCTCGTGCGAGTGCTGCGAGTGCGCCTGTGAGAGCGCCGACGGCCCGCGTATGTGGTCCGGCTCGGGCGACGACGGGTGCTCAATCTCGACCGACGCCCCCGACGAGCGCCGCGGTTGCGTCGACGTGGTGAGGTCGTATTCGGCCGCGGTCGTGTCGATCGTGATGTTCGGCTGCGAAAAGTCCGCGGTGGTATCTGCGGACTCGGGGTCGGGGTCGGGGGCGGGGCCGTGGTCGTACTCGGGCGAGGACTCGGTGGATTGGAGGGGCCCGAATGTATTGTTTACTTCGGCTTCGTTGTCCGGTTCGCCTTCGCCTTCGCCCTCGTTGTCGCCGTCGTCTTCGTACTCTGACTCGTCTGACGACTGGGGTTCTGTAGATGTATTAGCATCATATATATGAATGTATAGTATAGACACTCACCAGGATCGACCCAGCTAACCTCGCGATCGTCCACTCCCCACCTAAGATTCAACTCGGGCATAGGCTCATGCGTCCCCGCAACACCGCCCAATCCTGCGCCCAAATCCTCGTCTCGTTCCCTAAGCGGTGTCGCAAACGGACTGCTCGGGAACAGCTCATGCCGCCCGTGTATCGTATCAGACAGCTTGATGGGGACAGACATGCCCGAGTCGTCCGAAGCACCAGACATCTTGGGTACACCGCCTCTAGGCGGAGGTGTGGCTGGTAGGCCGGCGGGGAGAGGCGAGCGGTGTCCTGAGCCGCGCGTGGGAGTGTATTCTGGGCCGTCCAGATCGTCTTCGACTACGACGCCTCTAGATGGCGGGCGAGGCTCAACGGGCGAACCGAGTAGTCGAGCGAGCGCATCGTCTCGTCCGCGCTCTATACTGGTCCTGACCCTAGTCGTAGGTGGAAGCGGCGCCACACGTTCCAATGGACTCGTCGCAGAGCTCATCTCCTCTCTATCGTCTACCACATCCGGTGCTTCTCCTCGAGGCTGTGATGCGCGTTTGGAGC